TGGATTAATAATTTTGAGTTATTTTTTTTGACTGATATTTTCAAAGTGGATTTGCCCAATTAAGTAATCATCGCGAATTGGGTTTCGATATACCATTCGAATCATCATTAAATATAGTATCTAATATACCAAGACGAACTATACCTATTAATATACCGTAAGTTATTTATGGATTAATAATTTTGAGTTATTTTTTTTGATTGATATTTTCAAAGTGGATTTGCCCAATTAAGTAATCATCGCGAATTGGGTTACGATATACCATTCGAATCACCATTAAATATAGTATCTAATATACCAAGACGAACTATACCCTATTAATATACAGTAAGTTATTTATGGATTAATAATTTTGGGTTATTTTTTTTGACTGATATATTCAAAGTGGATTTGCCCGATGAAGTAATCATCGCGAATTGGGTTACGATATACCATTCGAATCACCATTAAATATAGTATCTAATATACCAAGACGAACTATATCCTATTAATATACAGTAAGTTATTTATGGATTAATAATTTTGGGGTATTTTTTTTTCACTAAAATTTTCAAAGTGGATTTGCCCAATGAAGTAATCATCACGAATTGGGTTACGATATACCATTCGAATCATCATTAAATATAGAATTTAATATACCAAGACGAACTATACCCTATTAATATACAGTAAGTTATTTATGGATTAATAATTTTGGGGTATTTTTTTTCACTAAAATTTTCAAAGTGGATTTGCCCAATGAAGTAATCATCACGAATTGGGTTACGATATACCATTCGAATCATCATTAAATATAGAATTTAATATACCAAGACGAACTATACCCTATTAATATACAGTAAGTTATTTATGGATTAATAATTTTGGGGTATTTTTTTTCACTAAAATTTTCAAAGTGGATTTGCCCAATGAAGTAATCATCACGAATTGGGTTACGATATACCATTCGAATCATCATTAAATATAAAATTTAATATACCAAGACGAACTATACCCTATTAATATACAGTAAGTTATTTATGGTTTAATAATTTTGTGGTATTTTTTTTTTCACTAAAATTTTCAAAATGGATTTGCCCAATGAAGTAATCATCGCTAATTGGGTTACGATATACCATTCGAATCATCATTAAATATAGAATTTAATATACCAAGACGAACTATACCCTATTAATATACAGTAAGTTATTTATGGATTAATAATTTTGTGGTATTTTTTTTTTCACTAAAATTTTCAAAATGGATTTGCCCAATGAAGTAATCATCGCTAATTGGGTTACGATATAACATTCGAATCTCCATTAAATATAGTATCTAATATACCAAGACGAACTATACCCTATTAATATACAGTAAGTTATTTATGGATTCAACAAGCCACAGGCGAAAATTTTGAAAATTATCAAAGGCCGAGTCTTTTTTCGCATAAAATAAAACTTAAAAAATTTTTATCGATCGGTATTATGTTTTGTTTCCGTTCCGAAAAATACCAATACCTAAAATACCAATACCTTTCACATGGCATTTTTTATTTAAATCCTTACTTCGGATGTATCTTATTTACTTTCCATCTCTTTTCTTTATGTGTATTTTTACATTCTTTTAAAATATGTTTATCATCTGCTCTATGTATTTTAACAGTTGTAACAATGGCATACTTTAAGGTAAGTTACTTATTTTAATATGTATCTGCGGTTAAAATTTGATCACTTATCTCTTATTTTTCAATGACCTTTTTATATTTTTTTGAATTCCCAATACTAACAGTTGGGTGATAATTGGGCTTTATGGCTGTTCATCTTCTTGCTCTTTAGGAAGAGTTTTGGATCAAGAGAATTATTTAATTAAAAGTCCAAATATATTTTTTCTGTGTTCGCCCCTATAATGAAATTGTTTTTCTTTTAATTGTCTACAGATTCACATAAATTCTCTACATTCTGCTTCCTTATAATAAATCCAATTCCTGTATAATAGTTATCAAAGCATGTCTAGTGATTTTTTTCAGTTCTACTCAAAAATTTGGAGATTGGAGAGGCTTTTTTAATGCAGTTTTTTCCGAAACCTCCTTTTTTAATTTTAAAGACTTTCTTCCAATTGTGTTTAAAAATGAACTCCAAAGTCTATTCCAAATTTATTTTCACTTGAGAAAACTAGAAAGTATTGGATTTGTTAAATTATTTTTATTTTTGGCTTTCTTCTAAATTTTATTTAGTTCTGTTTAATATAACTAATATTCGCAGTTTGGTGTTTTTTGTCTGAGGGCTCAAATTTTACGCTTGCTTAAGTTATTAGTTGAGAAAAATATTTTTTTTTCATGACCGGAGTTTTATGCGAATTCTCGGTATTAATGGTATTGTAATTGGATTCTAATCAGTATATCATTTTCTCTCACATCTCAAAAAATTTTATTGCCATTTCTCTTTATAGGGGTATTTTACCTTTATTTTAAGTTTATCTATCTGCTTAAGTTTTCGTATGATCTGCTTAAGTTTTCGTATGATTATCGATGGAAAAACTTTAGGATGATTAACAGCATCTGGAAATTGTTTATCTTCTAAACACATACCTCAAAATGGAGGGTTTCTTGATTATTATTATTATTTAATCCTTTTATTTTTGATGGCAAATTAAATTTTCCAGCAGTATAGACTTGTAGAGCTGGTTGATCTATATCCCCACTTCCATCCGTATTAAAATAATTATTTTGTGCTAAATTTAGAGGAGTTAAAGTATCAGTGCTAGCTTCAAATTCAATTTAAAGTAAATTATCCACCGATTTGTAAATTAATTTATCATTTAAATTCTCTGGATATCCATTTTCTTCCTCTGAACTAAAAATATTTAATTGAACATAATTTTCTGAAATTTATGTCATTTTCCACAATCTATTTCTAAATGTTTGTTGTTTTTCCTCCATTATTTTAAGTGGGTCTGACCAGATTTCTTATGTTGTTAATTTTCACATGTTCAACAAATTTAGGTTATTTTTTATTTTAGCGTTTTATCTCAATTTATTTAATCTAGCTTCTGTTTTTTTTAACCTAATGTATTAAATTGTTCTTTCTGAACTATTATTTTCTTTTCTTTCTAATAAGTTTTTAATTTAATTCATATTTTAATATCTTATTCATAGGTAACTAACATTACATGATTACTTTTCTTGATTATATAATAATTTTTTCCTTTCTCAACGAAATTTTGCACATTAATTTCGTTGGATACAAATTTTGAAGCCTAAGCTATGTAATTTTCTACATTTTTCATTTCGTTCAATCTCTTTCTACAAATTTTCCATTTCATTCAGAAATTATCAAAAATATTTATCTTCAATTTTACACCTTGCCGTTGTTTTAAATCTTCAAATACAAAATATTCACTGAAAAAAATTTCGAGATATTTAAATCTCAAGGAGTATCTGGCTTTTAAGCCTGCGGCGTATGCACCCAGCTTTACCCGCTTAATATCCTTCTCAAGGCACCTAGCCGACGGAGTGTGCACCTAGCTTCACCTGCCTTCAGTACTACAACTTTTATTCACATGTGCTGAGATAATCAGGAGGTAGCAAAGAGCATTTCTCAATGCCGCGGCGCTACTTTGTTTCTCTGATTTTGATTTAAAACTAACGGTTTCTATCAATTTTTAAACTTTTAACTTTATTATCACTTTTTAACCAAACAAAAAGATCTCAAGGCCTACTTCTAACTCAATATTTTAATTTAATTTACTTTAGACTTTTAACCTTCGATTCTACCTTGTTAAGTTCTACCTTTAATTTGCAAAAAAAAATTTTATTTTCTTTTAATTTACAAATTTTTAAGTAGATATATTTTTTATTTAAAGCCTGCTAAATAGGCACATGAATTATCTTACTCATTTCTAAATAATCTTCATTTAACCTCTTTTTGCAAAATTCTTATTTTAGATCATTCAAGGAGTTTAAGCTCGAGCTCTCAATTTTCTGAGGATTTGTTAATCTCTTTATTCTACTTTCAGCACATTTAATTAGGTACTTTATGGATATGTCACCCCCCCCCTATTTTGAGTCTCAGAGTTTTCCTTATACGTAGAAAATGGTCAGAGATTATTTTCTTCTCCGTGTCAATCATTTTTTCTGCAAGCAAAATAAGTGAAATATGGTACATGTAGAAACGTAATGAGTGAATTTGTACAGTGAAATGTGAGTACAAATTTTATTAAAATATGTGAAAAGGCAAAATAAAAAAGCAAAATACTTGAAGAAGAAAAAAATGATTGACATGGAGAAGAAAATAATTTCTGACCATTTTCTGCGTATATGGAAAACTCTGAGACTCAAAATAAGAGGGGGGTGACATATCCATAAAGTACCTTTAATTATTTAGTTTACGACTTTTCTGGAATTCCGTTTTTTTTATGCTTTAATTTCATGCGCATTTCTCTCGACAAGGCTGTCCCGGGACAAGTGGCACCAAATGTTGGGATGGGGTTCCGAAGCCTTTCGAGGATTATACAAATTCTACTCTTTAAATAACTTTATTTACATCTAACTATTTACAAATTAAAATATATACATAAGGGAGGGAAAAGGGGACAATTACAAGAGTCTGGCCAGACCTGATAAAAACACTTCTAATTAGATATGAATGACCATTTTGGATGAGTATTTATAGGGGACATTAATAAGTCGAGATTGGCGTAAACAAGTGAATAACAAATATTAAGATAAGGGTCGGGAATTGTGATAGACTCTGATAACGGTCGGGATTCCTTTTAATATAGAAAGAGGTCAAAATATATGTGCCTGTGAATGCACGTGAATGCAACATTTATTTTTAGTTTGTTTATTTGATTAGGAGGGATACAGCACATTGTTAATAATGTTTTTTCAACTTGATCGCTCTTTTAAAACCTATATCATGAATATTTTTTATCAAAATTTAATATTAAAGATTTAATTGAAAATAAAAGTCCGAATGAAAAAAGAAATATGAAATTTCTACTTTTTAAAATTTAAAAAAAGTTTAAATCATCGATGTTTTCTTCTTTTGTATGTTGACTGGTGAGGTATTTCTATCAGAATCATTATTTACTGTCCCTCTTCTCAGCCTCGTGAAGAGTGATCCAAATGAGAATTTTCGTTCTGAATGTCTTTAATTCATTAGTAGGATATTTAGAAAATTTTAAACTCACTCTGATTTTCATTTTTTATCTTTATCTGACTCTCCTCGTTGTCATTTTGTTTGCTACTATCTTGTTCTTGACTCCCAAAAAATTTTCTTTTTGTTACGGAATCAACTATCAGCTTTCCCCAAAGCTCGTCAGGCTTGCTTTCTGGAGCTTCCAATTTACCTCCAATCATTCTTCTGCCATCTGATTAATTTAAAAAATTTATTTATTAGCTTTATACACATAACTTCATTATGAGATACCCTCCAACCCTCTAAATGTTTCCAGCCCCCTCTCTCCATATTTTATATAAGGAGCACCCTAAATAGGAGGAAGACTAAGTGTGAATCCAGAGTGGGTGTGAGACTATCCGGAGTACTGAGGCGGAGGTCAAGCTTCTTTTAGTCGTATCATAACTCGACGAGTATAGAAAAGTTATCCCATATTGAAGACAATTTAAAATTCCATACCAGGCGTATAAGTAATTTTTGGTCGTTGCTTGACCTGACTAAACACTTCCAAACCACGCCGTTTATTCATTCTTTCTTCATCTAAAGAGACACTGTCACCTTCTGATCTGTCTAGTTTCGGGGAGTTTGCACCTGATCTTGATGAATTTAGTTGGCGTAGGGCAGAAGGTGAAGCTGAGTAGAACTCAAAGTTCTCCAAAAAATTTAGGGAAAGTTAATTATAAAATTTGATTTGATTTGGATTTTTATATTTATTTTTAATTTTTCAAGTGACTTAAAGCTCGATTTAAGATCAACCTTGTAGCTTAGAAAATCATATCTCTTTAATGAGGGCATCTTAAATGTGAAGTTATCTACGGGCCATCAGATTTCAAAAACGATCCTAAATTAAGATAGAATACTTCTAGCAGAGAGCGAGATTTTCAAAAAAACCTTGACCTTGATCATTGGTTGAAAAATGAAAAATGCCTTGATCTGGACTTTGGATCCAGGAAAATCAAGGTCTGAATCCAGATCCAGCACGCTCTCTAACTTCTACTAATCTTATGTTGAACTCGATTTTAATAAAACCCCTCTGTTATGTCCTAATTCCCTCCTAACCTTTGGCAAACTTAATTCTTATGAATTTTAATTTTTTTTAATTTATACCCATGTTATTCTTAAACATTTTGATAATTATTAAAATAAAATTTAAAGGCATACTTCAGTAGGGCAATTCATCATTCCGAGCATTTTGATTTATATATTAAATTAAAATATTGTAATAAAAACAATTATTACTATTTTTGTCTTTAAAAATTTAAGTTTAATAATTTTTAAAAATATTATTAGAGTATTTAAAAAATATTTTTTGGGGAAAATAATTTTAAAAAATTATAATGATAGACATTTATTTAAATAAATATTTATTTTATATAGATTTCCGATCAAACAAAAAAAAACTTTATTTAGTAACACGCCTTCAAGTGACGTGTATAATTTAATTAAGTAAAATTTTTGGACTTTCAATTCTTTATGTTTGTGTGGGGGAGAAAAATGTGAATCAAATAAAATTTCAAAAAGAAATACCGAAATTTTATTATGAAAGAATTTGGCGAATTTTTTGTGACGTTTACTGGCAGTACTTTAAATTTACGGAATTATGACGATTTTTGTTATTCTGTGAGAACACTTGAACTTTTGTAAAAATAAATTATTGTGAATATTAGTCATGCAAAAATTTGGAGATTTTCTTTACCGAATAGCAAAGAATATATTAATTAAGAGGTCTTTATGTCCATAGGTGTACTTCAAGTTTAAAAAATGGGGTTCGGTATGTTCCGGTTCGAGTATGGAAGTCGTTATGTACGATAAATATGCTCTATATATTAATTCCCCTCGGGAATTATCTTTCAACTCAACCTAAGTATGTAGAATTATTCGAGGTGGGAACTATAATCTCAAAAAATTTGGGAAAAAATATACATACTCTCACATATCAGCATGCAAACATGCATTTACATGTTCTTCCCAGCTCTAATGATCAGTCCTTATCCATATAACTAAATTATATATCATATAGATAGACCAAAAATTACTAAATAATAATGACAGTTAATAATGAAGGTATTGAAAGACTGAAGGAAGCAAATGATGTGCTCTATTCTGAATTATTGGAGCTATCAGAAATTAAATAAAACTGACAAAAAAATTAAAGAATGTTTGATAAATGTCTAGACTTGAATAAATAAAAATATATCAATTAACAAGAAAGTTAACGCAAATCAATGTAAATTAATAATTTCACAATCTGTCAATTAAATAAATATTTTTTGTTCTAGAACAAATTTATTTAAATAAGGGGTTGTAAAAAGAAAATTTTTGTGTTAATTGATCAAGTCATTCACAATTTTCTTTTTAAAGTGAGTCAAGAGGGGAATTAGTTATTCACCAAATTTCTTAATCAGCCCATCAAATGATTGTTAATATTTTACAAATATACAATTTTTAAACAAAAAATTCTTTCACCAAAAAAATTAAAAAGGAGAGGGAGGGAGTTAATCAATCATTATATGAATTAAATCTTTTAATCAGTAAAGGAAATATAGATTTTTATTATTTTTTATTTAAATTATAACAGTAAAATAGGTATATTAATTAGATCCTATGAACATTAGGTTATTTAACTTTAAATTTTATGCCTCAGTTTTTGAAATCTGTTACATATGATACAAGAACGGAAAAGAGTCCTTACAGTCAGACCTGTGCATGGATACGGATATGGATACCGATAATATTAACATGCCTGCGGATATCCGCCTGTATCCGCCGTATATATCGATACCATTACCCGTGTCCATGCACAGGTCTGCTTCCAGTTGATGATAGTTTAGGATTTTTTCCATTAAGACCAGGGGTCTTTTTTGATGTTTTGTCTTTCACTTTTAAACTTCTGCCAAAGGCCTTCATGCTGATCAATTTTTATAGGCATAATCAGATTCGAATACCTATCTGGAGCTAGTTCATTGTTAATATGGATAGTTGGATTTCTGCAAAATATTTGGGATTGTTTCCCATCACATGAATTTATAATTTAATTAATGTATTAATAATTTTATTTTAATAATCAAAACAAAATTTATGAAAATATATCAAAGAAGAGATGATCTTTGCCAAATTCTTATTTTATTGTTGTTATTGTTTCTATATTTTTAATTTTTTACTTTTTTAATTGACGAATAAATGAATAATATTTTTTGAAAACAAAAAGATAATTATACTTTGCAGAATTATGTTTGACGAATATTATTTTGAACTTAAAAAATTTTTTTGATATCTAACATAAGTATAAATTTTTTGCATAGTTGAATGTCCTTGATTATTAAATTTTGTGAAATTTTTTAAATGAATACATGAAAAAATTATGAGTATGGAATTTAAAGTGGTATTTCGCTATGAAGAGCGATGTCCTTAGGGGATGGGCTGTTTTTTGAGTCGTAATCCAGATTTTCCAAAATAGAGAATTTATTTTTCACGTCTGAATCGCAGATACAAAGATCGGAGCCAATGTTTTGTGTATTTTGAGAGATCTTTTGAATGGGATTAGTGTTCGGCACAGTTCGGTACCACCGCGGTACTACCGAAATATCGAATCGGTACTACTATATCCATCAAAAATACATGGAGTTATTAAAGTTTGTTCAATTTTTTCGAGAAAATTTCTGAACATACATAAATTGTATCGGTGTCATTATTGTATTCAGCAAAAATTCAAATATTCATTCACGAGATTGGGTCAAATCAAAATCTTTTTTTGATTTTTTTCCATAATTTAATCATTTTTCACCAATATTCCTTTCAAAAAAGTCATTAAACATCAAAAAACGGCTGACTCAAATTAAATACAAACAATCATTTTTTACAAGGAAATGAGGAAAAATGTTGCGCATCTGTGTTTGTCACTCTTAAATGTACATATAGACATTTTTAATTAAAAAATGTTTTTTTAATTCTTTCATTTGTCTGAAAAAAACATTTTTAACCAATTTTTATTTTGCTGGGCAATTTTCGAATAAATCTCATATTTTTTGGGGTTACTCTATAAATTAATGAAAGCGAAATAAGCCTGAGAGATAAGCCTGGATCAGTCGGAACTTGTTTATGAATGCTCCCTTGCTATTTAAAAAATTTATACTTACAAGGTTTTGTTTGGTATTGAGGGTTTAATTATTTGGGGTCGGGGTATGAGGTCGGGATACAACTCTACTTTTATCCACCCTGTATTATAAATTCAAAATCAGACTTGGTAATGGACATGGAAGTTAGTAATACAGGCGTAAAATTATTTGAAATTATCTGTACATTTTGAAATTATCTTTATCCGTATCCATTACCAAATCTGTCCGAGATTCTAATTTGTTAACAGATCAAAAAATTTTTAAAATAAAATTTAAAAATGATAGAATATCAAATTCTTTCTTCAACAGGTGTGGCAGCAATAAAATACTTAAATTCACCCAACTAAATTCCATACCACACCCAATTCCCAATTTCTTGATTCAAAAGGAATCACCAAAAACAATTAAAAAAGCTGCGCATTTATAACTCCAATTTTCTTCTTTATGTTGTCCCGCGTTGTCATTCAAAAACAAATTTACGAGCAACAAAACAAAAATATTTTTACTCCCCCCACCCCCCTCCGATTTTTCTAATTTATGTATTACAAGTTTAGTACTTTTCCGCAATCTTCTTTTACAACAATTTTTATTCATAACCCCCGCGCGCTCTTTTATGCGCAAATCAAATAAATTTTACGACTACTGTAATGCTTGGAAATAAAAAAAATAATTTTTTGATTAATTAATTTAAGAAATTATTGAAATATTTCTATGTTTTAATTATTATTATAAGGATATACATTAAGGTTCCGAGGCTGGCCTGAGTAAACTCGTGTCGGGGTTTACCCCCCTCTAGGTTTCGGGTAACTCGACTCATCTCTGTTCCGGATTAGCTGACCTAAAAGGCTTTATACCTAATTCTTCAACAGCTTTTCCTTCCTTATCCCCTCCAATATACCTTAAAATATTACTACTCCTAAGATTTAACTCTCAAGTAATTTTTAAGGTAGTTTATTAGGTAGTTTATCAGTATATAGTACAGTTTCGGAGCAAGCCTGAGTAAAGTCGTGTCGAGTTTCGAGTCGAAAAACTCCCTAGGTTTCGGGTATCCGACATATCCCCGTTCCGGAAAGCTGAACCTAAAGCTTTCTAATTCTTCAACAGCTTTTCCTTCCTTATTCCCTCCATATAATTTAAAATATTACTACTCCTAAGATTTAATTACCAAAATATTCTAGGAATTGTATAATAATCCCTCCAAAACAATATAATAATCCCCCTTTCATCTAGTTATACTTTAAAATATTGCTACTCCTAAAATTTAAATTTCAAAATATTCTAAAAATTATATAAAAATCCCTTCAAAATTTATAGTTTCTTTTATTTTAAGGTAATTTTCAAGGTAGTTTATCAAATTATTAAATTACTATGAAGCCACTATATTCCTCTATTATTTTATTTCTTAAATTCATCATTTTACTGTTTATTGCTTCATTAAACAGTTTTGAATTTTCTTCGTTTAAAGAATTAATTAGCCTTCAACATCCATCGAATACACGCTCATATTTAAATAATAATTTTAATTATAAGCCTGAAAAGTTGCTTAAAGTATGTTCAAAACTATAGAGAAAAGTGTTATCCAATAATAAGAGATATAAGACTTGAAGAATTTTATGTTATGACTGATGCCGGGCATGTCTTCGGGAGATATTTTCGAGATCTATCTTCGGGCCCTGTGCTTGGTCTGAGCTGACTTCGGGAGCTGGCGTTGAAGTTGAAGCCAGATAAAAATTTTGAAACTCCTGAAACCGTAGACGCCCATCATTTATACATCTGATAGATATAAGTTGGAATGATCCAGATTATCAATTAACTAAGAGACTAATTCTTAGAACAACTAAAAATTCCCTCTCAAGGAAAGCATTTTTAATTCATTTTTTAAACTTGGATATTAATCTATTAAGTTGGGAGGACTTGATTGTAATAGACGAATTGTATTAGATTGTATTAGACAATAAAATATCTTATACAGAACACAATGTCCAAACTGATAAACAAAACCTTTCCAAAAATTTTATAAAATAATTTTAAGGGATGCCCAAAAGAATTAACACAGCTAAACACTTTTCGGCAATTTCCTCTTCTATGCAAAACACAGCCAGCATTGGCTATTGTAGCTTATGAAGTTTTGTTTTTATTCAAAATTTCAGATTTGAATTAATTTAGGGTATTTTGGAAGCTATGGATGAGTGTAGACAACAAATGAAGTTTGAACGTTGGGATTGTTCTCATTCTGGGACTATATTGCACGAACCTGCACTTACTAAACATTGTAATATTGCTTAGGTTTTGATCTCAAGAGGGGATCAGGTTTAGTATCTCAATAAGAGATTAGGTTTAGTATACATGTTGGGTTGGTGTAGATATTAAAATTGATTAAGAAGGTAGGTATGAAGGGATTAGTGGAGATCATGGCGTTTTTTGGAGATTGGCTCTTGCGCCCGCCACTGGTGGAGATCAAGAGGGTTATCAAGTGGATTAAAAATCGAGAGGATTGAGATATAGCGATTAAGAGAAGTTTAGGATATCGATGAATATGGAAGAATTATCAGGATTTTGGGGTAAAGGATTATCCTTATTACTGAGGGCTTTTGGAATTGAGACTTTTATTTTAAGCCTGTTTTCTTTTGAAAAATTAAAAAATCATCTCTCCTCTAGCACTACCCGAATCTGCCTTCTTATGGGCTATTTCTGCAGCTGGTGTTGCTTGGGGAATTGCCACAGCTTGTGCACAAGGATGGCTAGATGAGTGTAAATGTGTTAATAATATGGGGGAATTAAAAAGTAAAACAACAAATCAAGTTAGAAGAATATCTGAATGGGATTGGGGAGGGTTAGTTTTACAATTTTAAATGTTAGTGGATTTTATGAAACTTTAGTTGTTCATATGGTGTTCAATACGGAGTTGTAACTTCCAGAAAATTGTTAACACGAACCTCAAGTTTTCATAACGGAAAACCAAACAATCAACAATTGTTGCGCAAGTTGGAGAAACACAACTTAAAAGTTGGAAGAATGGTAGATAATTAAAAACTTAAGTTTAATAAACTAAACAAACTTAAGTTTGTAAACTTGAATTAATAAACTTAGGTTAAAGTTTTGTAAGTTTTGTTTGTAAGCTTTACTTAACAAGCTTAAGTTTAAGCTTAAGTTTAGCTTAAGTTTATAATAAGCTTAAGTTTGGGTTTTGTAAACTTAAGTTTGTAAACTTGAATTAATAAAGTTAGGTTTGGGTAAGTTTTGTTTGTAAACTTTATTTAATAAGCTTAAGTTTAGGTTTTGTAAACTTAAGTTTTCTGACTTAAGTTTGACTTTGTTTATAAACCTTGATTAACAAACTTAGGTTTATAAACTTAATCAACTTAAGTTTGCAAACTTTAATTTTATTTTTAGGCTGTTAGAAGGACTTTAACATCCTCGTGTACTTGTCATGGAGTTAGTGGAAGTTGTCAACAAGTAAATTTTCAAAAAAAAATATTTTTTAACAAAATATCAAAAAATTTTTTTAGAAGACTTGCTGGAAAAAGACAGCAGATTTAAATTCTATTGCCAGACATTTAACACATAAATATAAAAATGCTAAAGTTGCAAGTTTTTTGCCCAACGGTCAACTTAACGCGCACAGTTCTGAATTGGTAGAAAAAATTTTTTTTGAAAATTTCAAGAAACTTTTTAGGTATATTCCGACAACGGATTAAATATTTGTTCCCAATTTCATTACGATCATCAAAGAAAACGGTCCCTACCTCGTATCTGTAGTTGGAGGAATGCTACTTACACTGAAGGGGATTGTACTAATTTGTGTTGTGGGAAGGGGTATACGGTAATTTTTAAAAAAAATTTGATAGTCAACTAAATTTTAAACTAATAGGTCTCGCATCAAGTTGTTCCCTATAAATGCCAATGTAAATTTATTTGGTGTTGCAGAGTGGAATGTAAGGAGTGTTTGGAACATAGATGGGTTTCTACTTGTAATACTTGAAAAAAAAATTTTTGTTAAATTTTTCTTTTTTGAAAAGCTTTAAAGCAACTAAAAAATAAATTTTTAAAAAATCAGGAATAATTTAGCACCCTAATTTAATCATAATTAGAGCGAGGAATGACATTTGGGGACTGACTTATAGCCTTATTTTATTTTAGAATTTTGGTTTATAAAGTAGAAAAGATGCTAAATCATAAATTATACGAAACCCATGCTAGTTCAAAAAAATCAGAAATCAAATTTAGGATAGAGTTAGCCCGAAAAAGTCTAAATATTGCTGTCAATCATATGCCTAGCGTGTTAAAAATTATATATTGGATGATCATTCACCCTAACTACATATACTTTTGACAGCGATCCACCCTATTCCGTCGAACACTCGAACATATCAGTTCAACACCCATGTGTCCACAAACTTTAATCCAAATTTTTGGACACATTTAATAATAATTTTCTAAAATAATAGCATATAAATAATATTATTCCCTTCAAATACATAAAATACACAAAAAAATATTTTTATTTTCTAGTAACCATTGTTGGTTTTTTAATTCCACTTTTTTGTTGTCCTACTCTTTGTTGTGATTGTTGTGATACTCCTTGATTAACCCCACCCGTTTGCCTTTTTTGTACTTTTGTTTCAATTCTACCAGATTTGTTAATTGAAGTTGAAGCAATATTTGTTGGCTGTTTACTAGTTCGTCTTTCTCTTCTTTCCAAGGGAATTGTGGAAGGTGTTGATGAGGATTCTGGAGTAGTTGCTTCTGATGTAGAGATAGTAGCCTGTCCATTACTCACTTTAGGCATTGGTCTAACTATTGAATGAGGCTTTGCTGCATTCTTCTTCATTTCAGTATTAGAGGCATTATTAGCTATTAATACATTGCTGTGTTGGTGAGCTGCAGCAGCTATAGATTTCCTATCTACGTTTAATATTGTATGAGTACGTTGTCGATTGCGCAAGGTTAGTGAAGGAACGGATTGCTTAATTTTATTAAAATATTTTTGTGGATTTTGTTTACGAGGAAGAAGCTTATAAGGAAAAAAGGGATCAAGCTAGGCTTACTAGGCGGAGGTTTAAGATCTATTATTAAAAAAGAAGGTGGAACTAGTACCTCGATATCTTAGCACCGGTAAGTTAACTGTCAGTAATGTTCAGGCTCAATGCCTCCTCAGGGCTACACTTTTAATTTCCAGAAATATTTTTTACAGATCCTGATTTTTTCATAAAATATTCGCAAGAAGGAAACGGGCTGAGAGTGTCGTATGAGGGAGTGCCGGAGTGCCTCTTGATTGAAAGAGGGTTTTTTGAAAGTGGACTTTTTTAAATGGAGAGTGCCGCTTTTTTAATATTTATTATTATTCAGACAGAAATTCAAAAAAAATTTTACCCTTCGATCTGTATTTGCTTGAATATCTTCTTCTTTGCTTCCCTCCTTTCCATCAATTTGCTCATTTATAATTAAATTTTCAGAAATTTTTTCAGCAAAATTTTCATCATTTTTAACTTCCGTATTTGATAATTCATTTTCCTTCAAACTTTTTTGATTCTCTAAATTTTGTAAGGATTGATCACTACAATCAATTGTAGTTGTCGATGTTGATTGAATATTCTCTAAAACTTCTTCCTCTTCATCTTGCTTCGGATCCTTTGAATTTTTATTATTAGGGGAATTTTTCTCTGAGGTTTTTTCAGGGATTCTAGTTGCTGTTTCCTTCTCCAACTTCTGCTCGTTTTTTGTGCCACTTTGAGTTGTCAATTCATTTTCAAGTTGTACTGTAGTTGTTGCTACACTTGTTTGATCACTTTCATATAAATTCTCCTCTTCTACCTAAATTTTAGGAGGGTAAATCTTGAAAGACATACACCCAGAAACAGACTCTAACCTGAATAGCTAATGAAGAAGGTCTCGAGTAGGAACCTCCGCTTATTTGTCTACTAGTTCGTCTACTACTCCCAGCACGTCCATCAACTCCTCCTCTAATCCTTTCCATTGACCTAGCCCTTTCCGGAACTACTGTTGTTTCATTTCTAATTAATTCCCTCTCTGGATGGCTTGAATAAATCCCCACAGAAGACGATCTTTTGCAATAATTATGGCCTGAAGCACTTGAAAGACGAGGTGGGGCAATTCTAGGCATTCGCATTTCAATGAAGAGTCCAACTTGAAAAAATTTTTGAAAATTTTAAGGCAAATCAATCTAACATTCATTAACACGATTCTGGTCCTCAACACTTAATAAAGGCCATTCGGTTGAATTGACTATAGAACAAGCATAATGAAACATGTGGCGTTCTAGTAGATCAATTAATCTAAGGCAAAGATTCTTGAACCGCTGAAAAACTTTAGATAATTTCTTAAAAGATTCAATTGTAGTCGGACTTAGCTATAAGATACCCCTTTATTCTTGGCGATTTTGTCTTATAAATAGGTGTATATTAAATAGAGTGTACCGCCTAGGCATCTCTTTTATTAATTGACCAACCAAGACAGGTCATGGTCTACTTCCATGGGCAACAGCGCCCTGCTCTACGTGTTAGAACCAATGGTCCGGTATTGTACAATAATAACTCTGGGTTAGTGAAGCTTTTTATTCTCATAAAGAATTTTGTGGAAATATAATGAACAAATTTAAATAGAACTCATATAGGGGAAAACGGCACCAGTATCGCAAAAACGTCTCTTAAACTTAAATGTATTTTATATAGAGGTGTATCTTATAGAGAGGTCCGTCTGTATAATTAGAATCCCTACAGGATTCCATTCTTCCACCAATAAATTATGTTGTTCTCGAGCTGTATTAATCATTGTATTACTGCTACTATCAAAGCTCCGCTTCTGCATTACATTCTTACTACTGTAAAACTTCATGATTATTAAATTTAAACATCAAAATTTAAACTTTATTTTAATTTGTAAATTTTTTTCTCCAAGTAACTGAGTTATCACAAACTCTTTTAGAGCAACAAACGTTCGTATAGTTGTTTCTGGACATAAGGAGTGTATTAATGTTGGAAGTATATCTTCAAGGAGGGCTAAATTCAACGCTAACCCTTTCCCGTAGGAACTAGAAAAAAATTTTTTTAATTAAATTTTTCACTGGTTTTACAAACCAAAAAGCTTTGGATTGAATTAACGAATCCAACGAACTCGTTAAAAACTCCATACAATATTCCTCTACATCATTAACTAGCCTAAGTACTTGTTGTGCCGATATTTGTTGCTTCACTCTGGGTAAAGCTAAATTAAGCTTTTCGCACCCTAATAGGACATCAACAACATTTTCTTCATCTGATTGGGATTTGAAAGAGATTTTTAACTTTTACTTAAGAATAAGTACCTATAGATTGTAGAAGAACATCTCTACAATGTTTTTGCCATTGGAAGGAAAGATGGAGAAATATGCGGCCTTGAAAATACAAAAAATAAATTTATTAAGGTCCAATAGAAATATGTTATTTGAGGGTTTTCGGTTCGGAACTGAACCAAAAACGAGAGGAAAATTGAGGATTTCTGGCTTTTTAACCCTATGAAATTTCAAAAATTTTCTTTGAAAAATGAGAAATTTGGCTGGATGGATGCATAGGAGCTCAGGCTGAAAGAAATCCATATGACAAGTGATCGGGATTTGCATCGGGATCTGATGCACATCCAAATCCCGCCCAATCCCGACCGGAATCCCGATCCGGTAGAACTCTATGTGTAACCATGAGTTTAATCCTCCTTTTCACGGGAATTTACATAGTAACTTAATAAATTACCCTTCCAAATACGAGTAAAATGCGCAGCTTGCCATTGCATTGCATCATTAAAAAGCTGTTTTAATTCCTATAACATAATCATAAATTGATAAAAATATTTTTAACTTTACGGGAATTTCACGCTCTATCTTGGGTAATGCTTCAAAAACGGCTGAAACGCAAGAAGCACATGGCCGATGAAAAAAATGGCAGTGCTTAAGTGTTTTGATTAAAGTTTCTAAAAGCTTAAGAAGTCTCAAAAATTACCACAGCTCTTAGGTGTAAAGCAACTACTTTAACAAAACTTTCCACTTTAGTAAAGGCCCCCAATTCAACCAATTCCCATGGATCTAAAAGCTCTGCATCGTTATCCTTTCCAATAGTTGCAGGAAGGCAGGTTAATCCCCCATAAATAAATTGAAGAAGAAAGGCAACAGAAGTTCGAGAGAATCGAGGCAAGTCTATGTTGTAAAGACGAGTGGATTGTGATGATATTTGTTCCTGAATTTTTGGATTCAATTTTGGATTCAATATACCTTGTGGGTTTTGAAAAAGTGAGTCATATAGTGAGGTTATCTTAAGTTAAGGGTATTGCTCAGGTGTGTCTTCTTCGAGCCTCCCTACCTAATCTAAAGTGGTAAGGCGGTAAGGCCTCCTCCCTCACTGACAAAGGAGCTTAAACAACCCTTAAATCACCCCCCTCTCCAATGGCTAACCTAACTATCTTCGAAAGGAACCTTAAATTAAGGGGATCCCTTGGGGGTTCCATTATATAGAGGGTATCTCTGTATTTATTATCTAAGTATCTTATATATCCGTCAGTATATTAATTTAATTTACTCTAAAAAATTCAGATCCACATGCCCATAGTATACATGAATGGGCTTTTTCTTGTTCTCCATTAGCTGCCAATAAAAGTACATCGGCCGAATCCCTTTCTTCCACAAGCATTTTAAGTAAATCTCCGGCTAATTTACTAGCTGCCTCATTTTGGTTTTCAAAAACAGGAGCTGGGGCAATTTCTTGTGTTGGGGTTAAGATGTCTATTGAAGTTAGTGAACTAAAGGAAGAGCATAAGCTTTGACGGCGACGGGCAGCTATTGCACGGCCGCGGATTGTATTACACTAAAAATGTTGGGATAAAGGAAAGAGTTGATAAACTCCGTCATCCCACCCTTATGAAAGGAAAAGTTAATAAACTATATTTCATCCCCACCCCCTCCGAACCCTCATGAATGGGAAGAGTCGATACTCAGTTTTATTCCACCCAACAAACAGGGAGAGTTGATTGATAAACTTTGTCTTATCCTTCCCTCCACCCTCCTCCTTGAGGACAGGAATAGTTGATAAATTCTGTCTTATCCCTCTCCCTCTCCCTTCCCCCCCCCCTCCTCGAGGATAGGAATAGTTGTTTAACTCTATCTTAACCCACCCCAAGAATACATATATCTTAATGATATAAAATATTAAATAATTACGTCAAAACTATCTCTCGAATGAGGCGATTCCCCTCTATTGCTACCAGTTGAAAGAGGCAAACTCCGACTCATCACCCCTGTACTGCCACAATATGTTCTACTTGTACTGCAACCTTCTTCCTCTTCTTCTATTCCCATTTTGATAAAATATGGAAAGATTGCTGAATGTTTTCTCACTTGATTATCGTCTGAAGTCTGTCTACAAACAAAATTTAAATTTTAAAAATACCCTTCTCCTTCATTACCCAAAAATTTCCTGACTCAAACACCTCCTTTCACTGTTTGCCAAACTAGAATTATTTGTTGTCCCAGGCATTAACATCTCTCGAGGGGAGTTTGGGGAGGGATACGAAGCAGACATTTGCTGGTTTTGACTCAAATTTATTTTACTAGAGAATTCCTGTTTTTGCTCATTCCCACTACTTTGACTTTCAAAATTTCCTTCTGTATCATCATTATTATCATCAACCGATGACCCGTTTAATTTATTTAAATTTGTTGATATATCCATTTCTAAAACTTCCTCGTCTGTGTAAATTGAGCGAATAAAAAATTCTAATGCACTAAATTCAATATTAACAGGAATTTCTAAGAGTTGGGGTTGTTGTAAGGTTGTTGCTAAAATTGTAACAAGGAATTGTAAAATTAATTAGTAATTGTAAAAAAAGTTTATTTAATTAATAATTGTAAAATGAATTGTAAAAAAGTTTATTTATTTTCCGGGTTGTAAAATTATTTAAGATTGTAAAAAAAGTTTATTTTGTAAAAGGATTGTAAAAAAGTTTCCGCGTTGTAGAACTTAATAATAATTGTAAAAAAAAGTTGAATTATTAAATAATCTTATAAGATTGTAAACTTAACAATAAATTGTAAAAAGTTTATTTTTCGGATTGTAGAATTATTTTAGATTTGTAAAAAAAGTTGAATTAATTAATAATTGTAAAACGGATTGTAAAAAAGAATTGTAAAAAGTTTATTTTTCGGATTGTAAACTTAATATTTAATAATTGTAAAAAAGTTTATTTACTTTGTCCATTATTACAAATAGGCTGCACATAACGTTTGTAAAAAGATGGAGCACGTGCTTTTAATATACACAAATGAGCAGGTAATTTTTGACTATCAGAGGTTATTAACACCAAATCGGCAGTTGGAAGATGGCCTAATATTTTTTAAAAATTTTCCTTATTTTTCTTTAAACATTCATTTACCAACAATAGAAGACATTTGGTTACGAATTTGTTTAGCAATTTGTAAACGAAGTTTTTGCCGTTCAAAAGAAAATTGTTCCGTCCATAAATTTGTTTGTTGCTGTTGAGAGGAACGAGATGAATAAATTAGCATTGAACAAAAAAAATTAAATATGAACGATTATTTATAAAAAATCTCCCCGTTTCGAGAAAATTTTCGTTGCTGTTGACAACCAATAAATAATAAAAATTCTGAAAATTCTGTTGAAATAGAGAAAATACAAAAAATACAATTAAATTTATTAAAATGATAAAGAAACAATATACCGTATTTGCTAAAATAATTACCCAGGGTAATTATTGTTTCAACCTCACGCTGGAGGGGGTAATTAAAAGGGAGGGGGTAATTATTTGAGCTTTTTTCAGACAGGCTAATTATAACTATTTTAGAGAGGGGTAATTATTTTTTAGATCTCTGACTGTAGGGGGTAATTAATAGGGCGGGGGTAATTATTTGAGAGAGGGACATTATTTCAGCATTTACGGTAATTGTAAAAACTTAAATAATAATTGTAATTAAATAAATAAAAGAAATAATTTATTACAAACTTGAAATAAAGTAAATAACCTTGAAATACAAACTTGGAGGAAATTAAGCATAAACTTGAATTAAAAATAAACTTGAATTAATAAAATTACAATCTTAAAAAAGTTTTGTTTTGTGTTTATATTTGTGTTTATGTTTATTGCTATGTTTGTGTTATTTTTATGTTCGTGTTTTTGTTTATGTTTGTATTTTGTTTGTGTTATCTTTATGTTTGTTTTTTTGTTTTGTGTTTGTGTTTATTGTTTTGTATTTTATGTTTATGTTTGTGTTTGTGTTATTTTTATGTTTGTGTTTCTTTATTTGTTTGTGTTTGTGTTTATTTTGTGTTTTACAAGAAGTTTATATTGTGTTTTACAAATGTTTGTCTATAAATAAATTTGTGGTTGTTCAAATAAATATACCTACACATAAAACATTTAAATGAACATGTTTTACATAACATTAATTTATTAAATAGGTTAAGTATTAATTAAGTCAGCATTAATTATGGGTGGTTCCCATTGTTTGATATTTAATTAAAAATGAATTAAAAATTAAGTGAAGCAGAAATTATTTATTATAACTTGTTTAATAATTTATTTTAATTTTAATTTATTTTAATAAAAAATTTATTCCAAAAAAATTTAATTTAAAAAGTAAAATTAAAGTTTTGTCTATTTGTGTTCATTTAATTTTAAAAATGAAAAAAATTTTTTTCATCAATTCAATGCATTTTCTCGCATAAAATAGAAAAAGCATTAATAGAAATATAGAGCTAGTGTGGATGCGTGTAGAATAGAATTAGCATGGATGGCCAAAATGTTTTCGCTAGTATTGGGTAAAATAAAAATAAATATATACCTACTAACAGACAGAGAATGGCAAAACAAAAATGGCATTCGAACGAGAAAATACTCCAAAAAAATTGGAAAAATGGAAATTTTTTAAAGAATTTTTTGATAAAATTTGCGATTTTTTTCCATTTTTTTCGTTATAATAATTTTTAAAAAATTCTAAAAAATTCTAAAAAATTCAGAAAAATACTTTTTCAACATCTGGGTAATTTTACAAAATAAAATGATGAAAAGCAGGAACAAAAATATAAAGAACTGGCCAGTTCTCGACATTAAAATGCGCTTTTCCCATGAGATAAGCTCTAAATAAATGGAAGAAAGAAGCTTTTATTTCCCTTTTTCCATTGTGTAAAATAAAAATGTTGTAAATAAAATCATCAATATTTTAAAAACAAAGGAATTAAATAAAAATTATTTTGAAAATAAAAAAATTTTTTAATAATTTTATTTATTTAGCAGTTGGAACAATTACTTGATAGTTTTTAATGCATGGGTGGCTTCTGCAGCTTAACATTTATTAAATGGATTAAAAGAAAATACAAAAAAGAAAATACAAAAAAAAGAAAATACATAAATAATAAAATAAAACACAAGAAAAATACATAAACCATGTTTTTAGTTAATTTAAAAATGTGTTTTGTTGTTAGAAATGTGTTTTGTTTGTTTTTATGTTAATTTCAAGTGTGTTTTTATCAATCTTAAAACTTGTGTTTTTGAATAATAAAAACAAATATTTTTAATAACTTATATTTGTGTTTTTAAGCTTAAACTTGTTTTTTAAATTAAAACTTGTTTTTCTTAATTAAACTTGTTTCCGAATTAGAACTTGTTGTGTTTCTTAAAATAAACTTGTTTGGGTTTTAATTACAACTTGTTTGTGTTTTCGACAAACAAACATGTTTGTAAATTTAAATTTAAAACATTGAAATTGTAAAACTTTTTAAAAATGTTTTTACAATAAATTTTAGGGATTAAAAATAATTTTTTGCTTCAATTTCTACTCAATTATTTCAATCACATACACTGCGGTGCATATGTTTATGCACACTAGTTTTTTGTTCATAAGTTTATGCACACTTATTCAAAAAATATGTTCTATATGGCAATCGAAAGCTCTATTTGTATCTCAGTTGACATGTTTCTGCATTTTTCGAAATTCTGACATTTTCGAAAACTTTTCGACCGGTCTAACAGGTACTACATTTTCAACTTTTCGAAGAAATTTTTTTGAGGTCTGTAAAAAATATATGTGATTCTCCTCTAGATTCTACATATAATACAAAAAAATCATCCAAATCGGTCGAGATTCGACCGAGTTATGAATTTTTGAAAATCGAAAAAATACCATATTTTTGCCATTTTTCGTCAAAAAATCGCTTTTTTTCGATTTTCAAAAAATGATATCTCCGTTCCGGAAAAAGATATTTCTAAGCGGTTTTGTGGTAAATACTCACAAAAATATGCTTTATCAAATGGGTTTGTTAAATTTTTTCCGAAAAATTTTCCCGATGATATGGGATTTGGTATATCCGGTAGATCCGGATTATCTCGGCCAATTTTCATTTTCATGGAAAATGCAGAAACATGTCAACTGAGATACAAATAGAGCTTTCGATTGCTATATAGAACGTATTTTTTGAATAAGATTGCATAAAATTATGAACAAAAAACTAGTGTGCATAAACATATGCACCGCAGTGTACACTTGTAAAAACTTTTCAAAAACAATTATATTGGATTTATAATTGTTGTGAGTGCACTTTATTCTTTTTACTCGACTGATAATTCTCGTTCTTATAACTTTTTTGATTTTTTAAAAAATTATTTTTTTGATTTGTTTTAATTATCAAAAAATTCTGTCCTTTACTTGAGTAAATTTTCAATAAGAATAAACATAGATGACCTTGCCATCATAAACTGAAGAAAAATTATTTTTGCCTTTGTTTACCTTACTTTCCCCTCGCTTCCAGTTAAAATTTTCTTCATCAACTTTCATTCGCCCCACATCAGAATCGAAATGCGCAAAAATCGATTCCTTATATGTATGTAACAAAAAATTTTAGATCTGCGCAACAAATTTTAAAAAATTAATTTTTGTATTTTTAAGTATTTTTTATTTGTTTTGTGCACTAAAAATAAAACTTTTTTGTGTTTTTTTGAAAATACAAAACTTTCATGTTTGTAAGATTTGTGTTTTGTGTTTATTTTTTCTTAAAACTTTCTTAAAATTTGTGTTTTTTCATAAAACATGTTGTTTTGAAAACACATGTTTGTAAAACTTGTTTCTTCATGTTTTGTTTTTGCGCCTAGAAATAAACTTTTTTGTGTTTTATAAAAAATACAAAAACTTTCAAGTTTGTAAAATTTGTGTTTTGTGTTTATTTTGTGTTTTTCTTAAAACTTTTTTGTAAAACCTGTTGTTTTGAAAACACATGTTTGTAAAAACCTGTTTTTATGGCCTTAAAAATAAACTTGTTTATGTTTTCGAAAACTTAATGTTTTGGGAAAATACATGTTTTTAAAAACCTTTTTTAAGTTTATTTTGTAAATAAACTTTTTACAATTTGTAAAACACACCCTTTTATTTATTAAATAATTTTAACAATGACAACTTCTCTACGTATGCTCAGCAACGGAAATCAGTTATTTATTGGCATTGCTCTTGGAATATTTTTAGGCTTATGTATTAGTATGTTTGATGATGATTATTTACTTACAGTTAATATTCATACTCCCGGTATTTTATAAATAAATTTTTCAAAAATATTTTAATTAGATCCATTCTTCAATATTTTGCCTAGTCAACTAATTAGAGAAAGAAGACAACAACAAAACTTAACGTTACGTTGTATTGTTTTATTAACTTCTGGGGAACGTCAAAAACCAGAAAAAGAATTTTCTGCAATTTTAGACACTTGGGGAAGAGATTGTAAAGAATGCAAGTTTTACAACTTTGAAAATAAAACAATGTTGTAATTTTTAAGTGTTGTTTTTCACTGATTCTTCAAGTTTACAACAGCGTTATGCTGGTAAAAAATTTTTAAGATTGTAATTTTAAAGTTTATTTTTTAATTTAAGTTTCTAAGTTTTAAGTTTTTAAGATTGTAATTCTCATGTTTATTTTCAAGTTTATTTTAAGTTATATATTTTTAAGATTGAACTTCAAAGTTTGGTTTTTCATGTTTATTATTAAGTTCTATTTTTAAGATTGTAATTTCAAAGTTTATTTTAAAGTTTATTTTTTTAAGTTGAATTTAAAGTTTTATTTTTAAGTTTGTAATTTCTTAGTCCTATCTTAAACTTGTTTTAATCTAAAACAAATAAACTTTTTTAAGATTTTAAATTAATTTTAATATTGTAATTTTAAAGTTTATTTATTTAAAGATGTATTAAATGTTTCTTCTCGAATTTTGCTAGTTCAAGGGCAAACTTCTCCATTAAATACTAACGACTGGCCGTTAGTTAGATATATTCTTCATTATGTAGACAATAAATCCATTAACGAGGGTAAACGTGACGAAAAGCTTTGGACTATTATTTCAGATGGGAAGAGGCAAATCTTTAAAAAAATTGGAAAATTTTAATAAAATTTCAGTTATATCCACATAAACAATTTGCTTGATTTATTAAACAAGGTGGATGACAATGTGCCCTTAATTGTTGGCTCTAGGCAAACAAAAATGTGAAAAAATTTTTAAAATATTTTTTCGAAATAATTGTTTTATTAAGTAATTTACTTCGTTCAATATTTTCCAATTTATTTCCATTTTTTGGAATTTCCTCAACAGATTGGCCAATTTCCGCTACACTATCAACAGATGTCCCCATCATTATAAGCCCTAAAGCATTTCTTACAATAAGCAGATTGTGTGGAGTACAATCTACAAATTATGTTACAAGTTGGTGGGAGAAAATTATTTTATTTTATAAAATTAATGCTCGAGGGGTACCTCAACATACGGGAAGAACAATTGGTGGATGTGCTATACAAATGGGAATTGCTTTGTTGGATCCTATAGATGAAGTTGATAGTTTATTTTAATTAAAACTTTGTATTTTGTGTTTGTATTTTATTTGTGTTTATTTGTGTTTAGTTTGAGTGTTTAGGTTTGCGAAACAATGTTTTGTGTTTTTGAGTTGTTTTGCGTTTGTTTGTGTAAAATGTTTTGTGTTTTTAAATAAACTTGTATTTTGTGTTATTTTGTGTATATGTTTGCGAAACATGTTTTGTGTTTTTAGGTTGTGTTTGAGTACAATGTTTTGTGTGTTTAAATAAACTTGATTTAGTAATTGTAAAATGTTTCTGTTTTAAAAATTAAACTTGTTTGTGTTTTTAAATTGAAAAGTTTGTGTTTTAATTTTAGTATTAGAATTTTTTAAGTTTGCAAACATTTGTATTTTTAAATAAACTTGTTTGTATTTTAAATAAACATGATTGGATAAACATTATCAATGTGTTTTATAAAAACAATTTGTGTTTTTGAATAATAAATTTCTTTGTATTTCTAAAATTTTAAATGTTTGTGTTTTATAATTTGTGTTTTTGATCAAATAATGTTGTGTTGTATTTTTCGTTTTAAACAATTAATAATGTAATATTAAGGAATCAAGGCCTCTTATTGTAAAGCGTAACTTGAGAGCTATTTTTTCCAAATCTGAACAACTTCAATCTAAAAAAGTTTTTATCTTTTAATTAAAATATTTATTCAATTAAGTCTCTAAATTCTACAATTCTCCAAATTAATGAATGTTGCAGTGATAGAGCGATAGCTTTTGGATTATTAAATCATAAAGACCAAAGATTGCTGGATTTTGGGGGTTATTTAAATATTTAAAAATAAATTTATTAAAATAATTTTAGTTAGAAGACTTAAAGTTTTTGGAAAAGACAGACTTTGATAAACATTTAAAGTTTACAAAACATCAAATAAACAAAGGAAACACCAACTAGACTTAAACATGTTTTACAACTTGTTTTTAAGTTTACAGTTTTTTAAGTTTACAAAACATCAAATAAACAAGGCAAAACACAAACAAAACTTAAACATGTTTTTCCAACTTGTTTTTAAGTTTTTAAGTTTACAAACTTGGAAAACTTGTTTTCTCTCCCAGAATTATTTATTGAACTTGTTTCTTAGGTACTTAAGTTTATCACCACTTTTAAGTTTGCAAAACATCAAATAAACAAAGCAAAACACAAACTAGACTTAAACATGTTTTTCCAACTTGTTTTTAAGTTTGCAATTTTTTAAGTTTACAAACTTGGAAAACTTGTTTTTCTCTCCCTGAATTATTTATTAAACTTGTTTCTTAAATACTTAAGTTTGTCACTTAATTTGTTTATTCATTATATTTACAATTGTAATTCTATCATTACAAATTACACCAACTTATTAATATTACTTAAATTATTTTTTCAAGTTTTTATAGTGTCAATATTTAGTTTTATAAGCAATTTATTTTTATAGTCAGATTAAATGATAAATTGTTAATTTTTATTTAAAAAAAAGTTATCTTATCAATTTGATATATTTAATCTTGTTAATTTTTAATTTCTTACAGCTATCATTTAATGTGGTTTTGGAGGAGTTCCAGCCACTTGTGGATGGGCAGGAGCCACCTGAGCAGGGACAGGGGCTGCAGGTATATTGCATTTCTGCCCGCATTGAACACATTCAGGCAATTTAACATTTCCTTGAGGTTTATGTGTGGCAGCGGCTGTTTTCAACGCTGTACAACATTTTTGGACTGCGGGGTCTGCAGCGTTTTGTTGGCAAAATGCTGGGAGAGGTTGGGGAGCAGCCCCTGTAGCATTTGTTTTTGGATGTTGCTTGTCATCCTCATCTGATTCAGAAGAGTCTTTGTTAGCACCAGCCTTTTGTAGTGGTGCTCCTGGCTTTACAGCGGTTACAGTTGCCGGTTTAGGTGGTGGTGGTTGTTGTTGACCTGAAAATCAAAAAGATAATAAAAGCTGACTTCCAGAACAGATTCTTGGTCATGCCTGCCTCGTATTTTTAACGCTTAGGTTTCTAAAAATAACCTTCTGGGACCACTTAACTACCTAGAAGATTCTTTTCTGTACCAAATTATGATGACCTACACAGCTAGGCCTTACTGTAAGAGACACCCACAACTAGAAAACCTCGATTTAAAGTACCTTTTTAACTTTGATTGGCTACTGGGTGGGACTGCCTATGTGATACCCTCAAGTGATACCTCCAATTTAGGATCCATTATAAAATCAAATTTTCCAGCCCTAAGGATGTATATCATACACTAAAGTCCGACTATATAACAAATTTAAATCTCTACCTCCACATTGGTTCAGGAAAAGTCCAAAAACGGCCAAAAGGGTTAAAATAACGATATAGGAGGAATTCATAATTAAATTAAAATTTTAAATTTATTAACAATTTTTAGGAGTTTTAACAAACTTAGATTGTGTTATGTGTTCCAGGTTTCTGCCTATATTTATATAGACATTAAAAAAATTTTCTTGGATTGAATAAAAAATTTTTGGAATAATAAAAATATTGTCCCTCCTCCATCTTGAAATTGAACAAAAAATTTTTAAATATTTCTTTTGTGTGTCATCATAATTTTTATTAGAAATTATTAAAATAAAATTTTCTTGAGTGGGGAACATGGCCAAAAACCATTTGTATTTTTCAATAATTTTTTTAATAAATTTTCCATTAAACTACCATTAAAATAAACTCCTTTTTAGACCTAACAATAACCACTTTTAAATTTCAAGTTTTATTAAATTTAATTTTTCACAAATTTTGGGCACTCGATAAGGGAAATTTTAGAGTGTTGCGCAATCCTTTACAGAAAATTTTAAAAAATATTTTAAGGACGCAATTTTTATTTTTATTAAAAAATTGATATAAAACTATAATAAAGGTAGTTTGTAGGGTTGTTGGTGACCGGTTATTAACCGGTACCCCCGGTTTTCTGTTATCGCCGGTTTTCGACCTCCGGTTTTCGGTTCCGGTTAATTCGCCAAAAATTTTTAAAATCCGGTTGATTCGCCAAAAACACCGGCTAACGGTTCCGATTCTGTTAACCGGTCGCCAACAACCCTAGTAAGTATGCATTATTTTTTGAGATATATAGAAATTGTAAATTGAAAAAATTATCTTGTAATTTTTATTGCTTTAAAATAAGCGTTCATTTGTTTCTATGTTAAATGTATAGAATACCGACCACAAAGGAATATGGACAAATTATACATCAATCAAAAGAGCTCGTCGAGACGAGTCGAATGACACCAAAATTATTTGGGGCTTGCAACTTTGGGCTGAGATATAGGGCTCGAAATGGTCAAAAACCATGGGGGGTACCAAGCTCAATTTTGTGGTGAAAATTCGAAAAGCCAAATAATAGCTCATTCGAAAGAGCTCCTCGATCTGAGTCAAATGACACAAAAATCAGCGAAATCCGACTTGATTCGACAAAGTTATGAGCATTTGTTTTGGCTCCGTACCTTTGGTCCACGTGCAGGTTTTTGCTGCAGCGGAGGAAGCCAGGCATGCCGACCGCAGCTAAGATAGGCATAAGTTTATGTTACGAGCCCAGACGCAGCGCCCGTAGACTCCCCGCGAGGCGCGTGCCGCAAAACCCCGCGCGAAGCGCGGGGTTTTGCACAAGCGCCTTGCCTACTCTCCATAGGTATACGTTGTTTGTTTTTGTCATAACTGTTGTTTGTTTTTGTCATCCAAACTTGTTCAATCACTGTGCTTTTGGTGTCATTCTTCTCAGCTCGTCGAGCATTTTAAAATGAAATTCATGGAAAAAGATGAGGGATAGACATATGAGTTTTTGACTATTTTTAACCCTTTAAGTTTTGACCATTTCGAGCCCTATATCTCAGCCCAAAGTTGCAAGCCCCAAATAATTTTGGTGTCATCTGACTTGTCTCGACGAGCTCTTTTGAATGATGTATAATTTGTCCATATTCCTTTGTGGTCGGTATTCTATACATTTTCCGTTTCTATCAAAATCGTCAGAATTTTGTATTTCTCAACTGATCACCCTAAATGGTCAAAAAATTTTTTCGTACTCTTCCATCCTTTTCTAAAAGGTTTGCCAAGATCGGTACCTTCAACAGGAAATGGAACTAAAAAATTTAAATTATAAAAATATTATCTATCAGAAAAATACCTGTAATCAACATAAATATTGTAATTAATAATAAAGTAAAGAAAAGGAAGTGATTATAGTTAAGATGCATAATTCCTGGAAATCCTATTAGTTAGCTATTTTCATTTAAATTGAATTTTAATGGTAAACCAATGGAAGAACATTTGCTCCCGATACACCTCAACTGAATCCCGGACCCTATAACTTATGAATGGATAGTCACTTTTTTTGCTTTTGGTACCATTGGGTAGGGCATTAAATAGGCTACAATATACTAAAAAATCAAAATCCTTGACCGACTGGTAAAAAAGTTATGATCGATAAAGCGCCGAAAAATCAGATTTTTTTGAGAAAGTAAGTTTTTAGATCACAACTTTTTTACCAATCAATCGAAAATTTTGATTTTTTGTTATGTTATAGCCTATTTAATGCCCTATCCAATGATACAAAAAATATTTAAAATTATCAACCCGACTTGAGTTATAGGGTCGCCAGGACTCAGTTGAACTGCTCCGATTTGGTCCCATTATTGACAATATATCCTAGCGGCAATAATAAAGTTTGATTTTAGATATATTGGTCTGTCTTATATTAGTTTACGAGATACTAGTCTATCCTAGTAAAAGATAAGACTAAAAATAGAAAAAAATTGGAAGGAATTCTTGAAAGTTTTTCGAAGTTAAAATGACTAAAAACTAATTATTAAAAAAAATTTTTTTGCTTTACCAACTAAAATTGAGGAAAAAAACTTTGACGGAAAGCCTTAATATTAGCAATGTAAATAAAAAAATAATTTTGGAGTGTTTCCAATTTTTAAAAAATTCCAGAATTACTTTTTTTTCAATCTACTTTGAATTGTTTACACAGTTAAAAATGCTTAGAGAAAGTTGATCTTTGTTGTATTTAAAATAGTAAATTTTGAAGAACATCTTTAAAAAAAAATAATTACTTAAATATTTAAAAGAATTTTGGGTAAAATTAAAATAAGATTATAAAATTCTTTTTTTGTGACGAAAGTAAATACAAGGCACAAGCTACTAACATCGAAAAAATTTTTCAAGATTAAGCTTAAAAACAAAAAAAAATTTTATGGTGTAGTGGGAACGCTCCCAAAATTATGGGGTAATATGACCAAGGTTCGAACCCTCTCAGGGTAAATTAATTTCTAATAATCCCAATATTATTTTTTTAACCTTAAAACAAAAAAAGGTAATTCTGCAATATGCAGCAATTTTATAAATAAAGCTAAAATTAAATATATGTATGTATTTATGTATGTATTTTCAAAGAAGAATACATAGGTAAATCTAATCAAGGTATATCCAATAATCAAAAGAAAAAAAATAATATTTTTTGTATGTGTGTAAAACAAAAAAAACACAAAAATAAATTGCTTTTTATATTAATTTTAATTTAAATATTTTTTATTATATTTATTTTTTCAACAAATTCTTTTATAAACTTCCAATTGTACAGGTCCATCAGACAATCCTCTTATCAATTTTAAGGCCTCAAAACGGGTAAAATTATTTAAATTAGTTGAGTCAATCCTTCGAATTTCATCGCCTGGAGAAATTCTACCTTCTAGAGCTGCTTCTCCTGCTAAATTAGAAAATGTTTTTAATTTTTCTTGGAATTTTTGGGCATTCTGAAAATTGGACATTTTTAAATTTGGACATTTTGATAAAAAAATTTAAATTTATTTACCAGCAAAAACTCTCTTGACAAAAATTGGACGATCGCCAAAACGCGAGCTTAAACCACCATCAAGTGATAAACCCATAATAAGTTCAGATTTAGGTAAAGTAACAAGAATAGAGTCTGGAGCATATCTCTCCAATGCTGGATCAGTCAAAACTTTAAAAAAATAAAATTAAATTAAGATTAATATAAAATATTTTTGGAAAAATACTTTTTGCGGACTTTTTAAATTTGCGGACAAAACTTGCGGACATTTTATTAACTTATTTTTCTGGAAAAAAATAAAACAAAAAGCTTTAAAAAAAGGATTTAAAAAAAGTCCGCAATTTTTGTCCGCAAAATTTTTAAAATCCGCAAATTTTTGTCCGCAAACTTTAAAAAAGTCCGCAAAATTTATAAAAGTCCGCAAATGTAAAAATTAATAAAAAATTAATTCAAAAAAAAATTTTTCTCCCTTACAAATAGAAGATTGATGATCTTCCTGATATTCAGAAAGAGCAGTTAAACTAGAAGTACTTGAAGCACTTAACGCTGTTCTACTACCACTTGTAGACGAATTAGTTAAACAATTGGTAATATTGTGTTGTTGTTGATATAATAATCCTTGACGGCGTCCAACAATTAAATGAACTGACGGGGCTCGTGAACGTAATAATGTTCTAGCTTCTTTTACGCGCATCTAAAATTAAAAAGAAAATTTTTTTAGAAATTAAAAAAAAATATTTTTTTGCGGACAAAATTTTTGCGGACAATTTTTGCGGACTTTTTTAAATTTTTTAAAAATTTTTCTAAAATTCTTTGGGGTATTCGTGAGTATTTTTAGATAATTTAAGAAAAAAAAAATTTTTTTTTAATTTCAGAAAAGTCCGCAAATTTTGTCCGCAAAAAAAATAATTAAAAAAAAATTTTTTTACATTCTCAGTTGACTCATGTTGAATAAAGAAAACCTTTAAAAAAATAAAAATTAAAAAAAAATTTTTTTAATAAAAATAAATACCCTATCGCCTTGCATTAAATACCCATTTTTCTCAGCAATAGAACCACAAGTTACTTTACTAATCTTTAAAAAATTAATTTCTTTAATTAATTAAAATCATTAATTACTTCAATAGCATAATTTAAAGAATTTCTTTCTGGCGTAGAACGAACAAGAGGCCTTTCAGATAGTAAAAGACCGACACTAACTTCATCAAGTCCAACTGGTCTATGCAAAAGTACACAAAATAGATGAGTTTTTGAATATTCATCAAGACTTAAAAGTCCGCGAATGGTTGATAACTAGAAAAAGGGGAAAGAATTTAAAGTTTTACAAAAGTACAAATTCAAGTTTTAATTTTTACAAAAGCATGGTCAAGTTTATTTTTCTATAAATTTAATTCAAGTTTTATTTGTTTAGAAATTACAATTCAAGTTTATTTATTTATATATTACAATTTCAAGTTTATTTTCTGAAGATATTACAATTCAAGTTTTAATTCCTCAAAGATTACAATTATCAAGTTTATATTCTAGAAATAATAATTCAAGTTTATTTTTTTTCAAGTTTTTACAATTTAAGCTTTTTAATTCCTCAAAGTTACAATTCTCAACTTTATTTTTAAAAATACTCAAGTTTTAATTTTTTACAAAAGCATGGTCAAGTTTTATTTTTTTAATTACAATTCTCAAGTTTATTTTTACAAATACTCAAGTTTTAAATTTTTACAATTCAAGTTTAAGCTTTAAAAAATACAAACCTCATATTCGCTAGGTTTTAATTGTTGTTGACTGTCTAAACTTCCATCCTTCACTAACAGAGGAGGTGAAGGAGAAGAAGACGAAGCCAAAAATAAAGAAAGATTTTGACGTGTAGATAATTCAACTTTAATGTTTATATCTTCAGTAAGTGTTTTATCACTAATAGAAATATTGGCAAGATTTTCTTCTTTAAATGTTGTTGATAAACAAAAATTATTGGTTTGGGGAGGAGAATTTTTATGAGAATTTTCTTCTTCTAATTTTGTTGAAATAATTTGTTGTGATTTTTCTTCTTTTTTGTTATTTTCTGGAATAATTAATGAAGAAAGTTTTGGTGAAGGAGAAGATGCTGATGAAATTAGAGAAGACGAATTTAAAGAATTTAGAGTAGATTGTAATTGAGCAGAAGGCAGAGAAGATAAAAATAAACTTTGTTGTTGTTTCTCTGATGATGACAACAAAGTTTTTTTGGTCTGAAAATAAAACAAAGTTTTTTAAATAAAATTACAATTAGGTTTTACAAAAGTATGATCAAGTTTTATATATTTTTTGAGAAATTACAATTCAAGTTTAAAAATACAATTCAAGTTTATTTTTTAGAAAATCAAGTTTTATTTTTTTTACAAATTGTAATTTATGTTAATTTTTTACAAAAGCATGGCCAAGTTTATTTTATGAGAAATTACAAATCAGGTTTATTTTCTGTCAACAGTTTTAATTTTACAATTCAAGTTTTATTTTTCATAAAACAAGTCGATTTTACAATTTGTAATTTTCCAAAATTAGGTTTTACAAAAGTATGGTCAAGTTTTATATATTTCTGAGAAATTACAATTCAAGTTTAAAAATACAATTCAAGTTTATTTTTTAGAAAATCAAGTTTTCTTTTTTTACAAATTGTAATTTCCTTAAATTTTTGCAAAAGCATGACCAAGTTTATTTTTTTAGGAAATTACAATTCAAGTTTATTTTCTGTCAACAGTTTTATTTTTACAAATCAAGTTTATTTTGTAAAAATAAGTCGGTTTTACAAATTGTAATTTTCCAAAATTAATTTTTACAAAAGCATGGTCAAGTTTATTTTTTTGGGAAATTACAATTCAAGTTTTCTTTTTTACAAATTGTAATTTCTCTTAATTTTTACAAAAACATGGTCAGGTTTTATATATTTTTGAGATATTACAATTCAGGTTTATTTTCTGTCAACAGTTTTATTTTTACAATTTGTAATTTCCCAAAAATAATTTTTACAAAAGCAAAATTATTTAAAAAAACCTGTCGATTATTATTAGCAGTATCGTCACATTCACAGTCAGAATCTGATGAATGTGGAAAACATGGAACTGTCCTTCCAATAACCTTTAGGAAAAAAAATATTAATTTTCTTAAATTTATTTTAAAAAATACTTTTTCAGTTTTAAATCGAGACAAGTCCAACAACGCCCCCGTACCTCCACTAGCTTCTAAAGGCAAATGTGTTGAGGCATTAGCAATTGAATTACTTGTACAATCTGTTGTTTGCGATTGAACTTCATCATTTTCGACTGATGATGCTGTTGTTGAGTTCTAGAAATTTTTTTAGAAATTAATTTTATTTTTTAATTTTCCCCTAATTTTTTTTCCTAATTTTTTTAATTAATTTTTTTAGATTTCCTAAAAAAATTTTTTTTTATTTTTTAAATAAAATAATTTTTTTTTTAAAAATTAAAAAAAAAATTAATTTTCCCCTCACCTTTTCTCGCAAAAGAAAATCGCTGTCCAAAGAAAGGGAAGGCGATTGGCCTTCTTCTCTATTATCATCAGACAAAATTGACGTTGTTTGTCTATTAATACAACGAATTGAAGGACTCAAACTTAAATTGCGAACAGATGTGGATTTTGATAGAGTTTGAGGTTGTAAAACATTTGGAATGGGCAATTCTCCCTTGTCTAGTGCATTGAACTGAAAATTGTAAAAAATAAGTTTTAATAAATTACAACCCCCCTATCGTCTGCAAATGCTTGTCCGCAAATCCCAACCGAAAATCTTCGGTTTTTGTTTCGGCCGACAATCTATTTCTGAAATAATGCTACATTCACGTTTTTGTATTTTTATAGAGTATAACCTTTGATTTTCCTGACAGAAATTTTTTTGGATTTTTTTGAAAATATTCTGAAAAAATTTTTTGAAAAATTTTTGAAAAAAATTTCCCTGACAAAAATTTTTTTGAATTTTTTTTGAACATTTTCTGAAAAGTTTTTTGAAAAATTTTTGAAGAAAAATTTCGTGACCATTTTTTATATAATTATGAGAGAAGGAGAAGGCAAAAAATTTTGCGGACAAACATTTGCGGATGTTGAGACAGACAATACGAAAATAACAAAAAAAGTTCAATTTATTCAACCTGTTTAATCAGCACCCCAACACGCTCCTTTGTTGTTGTTTTTGTAGGACACTCCGGCGGAACAAAACACTCCGGCGGAACAAAATTTGTAGACAGAAATTAGAATTAAGCGAAAGAGTATTGGTAGGATGCAGTTGATTAGTAGAAGTAAGGAAATTATTGTTGCAATAAAAATTAAGATGTGCAGAGGGTTAAAAAAGAAAGAAAGCGTGTCCAATATGCTCGGTAAATTTATTTCTCCGAATTTTGTTTCATTTGTTTTTGTTTTTATCCAAATATCTGCTTTCTCCGCGCTCGCCAGGGCTAATGTTCCAACTAACTTTACAACTTCCTGTTTCTGGGCATCTCTTAACACTCATTACATTCATTTCATATTCTCTTGTAAAAAATTTTGTTTTCTTTGCGCAGCGTGCTTCCGCGTTTAATATTTTTAAATTTATCATTCCTGCTGGTCTGTTAGCGTGATCCTCAAATAATATTTTGATTTCTTGTTCCCTAGGTAGAAAATTTAACTCAATCACTTTTTCAAATAAGCATGTCCGCTCTTTATTTTTATTTACAACACATTTTTCTTCCTGAGCGGTAATAGTGGTTAATTGAAGACTTTCGGGAATGGTCAAAAATATTAATACTATTGTTAATTTTATCGGATTTATTTCCCTTTTGGCTTTTATTAATTTTAGTTCACTTTCCTCATTTTTGCCCCGATTACTCTTTATATTATATTTTCTATAAATCCATCGCATTAATCGAAATTTAAAATTTAATAAGCAAAATGCCCCTCTGAATCCAAACACAATCACACGAAAAACAGTCATTATTATTGAAAAGAATATATAGAAAATTATTGCGAACAATATTATAGCAGTTTTTGAAGCACATTGTGGATTTTTAAGCAATTCTATACAAATATTACATTTTATAATTTCACAAATTACTTTAGCTTCACAATTTATCCCAGATTCTTTTACTAATTCTCCGTATCTCCAAAATTTAATTTTAATTTCATAATTTGAAACCAATATTTCTTTTGATAATGGAATTAATTCTTCCAATTTTGGGTGGGGAAAGAGCGCGCATCGATCATTTTTTACACATATCTCTACACTTCCTATCTCTTCTTGTGAAAATATTTTTACTCCCTCTTTGTGACATTCAACATGACATTTTTCACATTTTAAATTTTCTTTTCTTTCAAGAAATCCCCTAACTTTTATTTTTACACGACCCCAAGCCTTCAAAGCTATATTTCCATTATCATTTACTAGGAGAGAAATTTCATTTCCTGGGTAATAACAAAATTTTGTTCCATGTAGCTCACAGATATGGTCTAAACAATATTTAGGGGAGCCTGTAATGGGTCCGGTTCCTATACATTCATATTCTTCGGGTAGTGCTTGTTTTTCTTCAATTTTCATTTCCTTTATTATATGGAGAGAATTGTCAAATAATTGTATTTGATTCACTTCTATTAATTTTAGGGGCCCACAATTTTCAATTTTCTCACATTTTTCTAAAGCCAAACTTTCCAAAATCTTTTGAACATTTTTATTTTTTATTGTTGAATTTTTAGTACTGGGGCCATTATAAAAGGAACATGTTTCGGTCCATTGTGGGCATTTACAAGGTACATTACAGTTTTCAGACTCAAAATGTTCCTTTTTAGAATAATCACAATTAATTATTTCCCAACAAAAATTCCCATCGGGTGCTTTCATTATTTTTAACCCGTTGGTTGCGCACGTTTGCGACTTGACTAAAACATTCCTTTGTCCTTTTTGGCACGGTGCTCCAACGCTTCTCCCCATTAATATAAAAAGAATTAGTACCAGAGACATTAAAAAGACAGAAGTGTTCAGGAATTTATTTTTTGAATTTTTGCGGGAATTTTGTTTTTTCGAGTTTTGGCATTTTGTATTCATCTTTTCTGGCGACTTATAAATATCCGCAATTAACCTATTCATATCATTTCTGTTTCTTTCCGCTAATATTTTTAAATTGTCATAATCTTGTTTTAAATTATTATTTTCCAATTTTAATTTATTTATTTCCTCTTTTAATGGTTCAATTAAATTTATTTTATTTTTTATCCCATATATTTCTTCAGTTATTGACTCCAATTTACTTTCAATTTCGGGTATCTCTTTTATTTCCTCTTGTATTTTACTAGCTAAACTCTGCCCTTCTTTTTCCCAATTAAATTTTTGTTTATTTGTAAATATTCTATTTTTATTTGGATCAATTCTTTCAATTTTTGGCGGGGTGAAATTTCGTCTTTCGTAAAGGAATGGGCAAAGATTCATTTCTATTTCACTTGACACGTCACTTTCTAAATCGCTCTCTTTATAATTTATCTTTTTTCTAGTCCTTAATTTCATTTCGTGCATTTTAGTCCCTATTTTTTGATTTTTATCAATTATTTTTTCTTCGCATTCGGCCTTAAGTTCGAGTGGATACAACAAATCTATGGCCCTAGTTAATATTTTTCCTTTACATAGAACTTTGGCTACTCTTACAATATTGTCTTTTCCTTTTATTGTTTCAATTATTTTGGCTAAATTCCATAAATTTTTTGGCAATGATTTATCCTGTAAAAGAACAATTTCTCCCTTTTCAGGGACATAATTTTTTCCTTTATTGTGTTTGTATTTGTCGGCCCGCTCGCGTAGATATTGCAAGTACTCTTTATTCCAACGCTTCCAAAACATTTCAACCGCTTCTCTAGAATTTTTCCATATGCGGGTTAATTTTTCTTCTGGTTTCTCTCTTTCACAACTTCTTTCTCTTTCAAAATCTATATCAAAGTTTTCTTTATTTCGATTAGGTTGAATTGCTTTCATTGGGGTAAGAACTTCGACATTATCCCCTGGTTCATTGTACACATAAGTCAGAGGCCTAGAATTGACTACCTTTTTTACTTCAGCCAAAAGCGTTCGGAATTCTTCAGACTCTAATAATCGTTTACCAGTCGCAGCTTTCATTGCTGGTTTTACTATTCCAATAATTCGCTCATAAAATGCACCAAATCGAGGAGAAAGAGACGGGATAAATGTCCATTCAATAGTTTCTTTTGTTGAGAACTTTGTTATTTCTTTTACAACTTTTGATGTTAATTTTAGTTGGGTCCCATTATCAGAAAGAATTTTTGTGGGTTTCCCATATTCAGCAAAAAATCGGCGTAAAGCCATTATACAATTATTAGCTGTAAGGTCATTGACCATTTCCAAATGTATGGCCCGTGTCGATTCACAAACAAAAATAACAACATAAATTTTTCCGATTTCTTTATTTGCTTTTCGAATATTGTATGGGCCAAAATAGTCTATGCCACAAAATTGAAATGGATTAGATTTATTTACTCTTTCTTTCGGTAATGGAGCCATTGGGGGAATTTCAAATGCTTTTAATTTTAATCTAGAACAATATTCACATTTTTCTATAACTTTTTTCATAAAAGCTCTTCCTTTGGTGATCCAAAATTTTTCACGTAACTCGGCCAATGAGGCTCTTAATCCACTATGTAAACATTTTCTGTGGGCCTCCATGCAAATTAATTCGGCTATTTTCGACTCTTTTGGCATCCATATTGGTGGGGTACTTGCAGAATTTTCTAGTCTCCCCCAACATTTCCAAAGGGAATACTTATCTTGCTTTAATAAATAATCAATTTGTGTCTTTTTATCGGGTGGGAATTCCAATTGCGCCTGCCTTAATAAATATAGTTGCGCTATTTTTCTTTCTTTCGCTTCTGATTCAGCATTTTTGAAAGCGCATAAAATTTCACTTTTTAAATCAATTCTCTTTCCAATTTTTGTAATAAATTTTAAAAAATATGTGGCTATTGTTACTAATTCATCCCATTTGTTTCTAACTTTTAAATTAATTTCTCCCATTAAAACACAAGCCATTAATTTATCTAATTCATTTTCATCTTGACTTTCTTCCTCAGCTTTCATTTCTATAGGAGGCCATTGGTTCATATCCTTCAAAAAGCTTGGGCCCTCCCACCAAAGTTTATTATTTTTTAATTCTTCCATGGTGCAACCCCGGGTTCCCAAATCGGCCGGGTTATTTTGAGTTGGAACATATCTCCATATAATTTCTTTTTGGCCCCTAATTTCTTCCAATCTTCGCCTTACAAATTTTGGCAATTTTTCTAATTTGCTCGAAATTATCCAATAGAGAATGCATTTACTATCTGACCAAACATACACATTTTTGAAAGGAGTTTTTATTTGATTCTTTATATATTCCACTAGTCTCTTACCCGCAACTGCTGCTAAAAGTTCAAGTCTAGGTATGGTCAAATTATTTTTTAACGGTGAAAGTCGATTTTTTGCTAAAATTATTTTTATATTTTCTCCACATTTCAAATAGGCTGCGGCGCAATAAGCATCCTTTGACGCATCCACAAAAATATGTATTTCGATTTCTTCTTCCGGTGAAAATGTTTCTCTTTTTATTTTTAAACTCATATTTTCTTCATTATTTTGTTGCATTAATTCATTCCATTTTTTATTT